CGAAATCTTTTTGGTCGTTCGGTAAATTACCTAACTCTCCGGAAATTACATCACTGCCTCCGGACTGAAGGTCCGAAGACAGCGAGGTAATTGCCGGAGAGTTAGGTAATTTACCGAACGACCAAAAAGATTTCGGGTAATGAGCATGTGTCCCAGAAATTATGTATTTTTGCTAGGTTTTTATATTTCGATTATATGTAGCTGTAATATAAATGTTAGTATCTCACGACAGTAGCACGTGTGCGGGTTTGGAACCCCAGATCCGAGTTTGGAACCTCAGATTCGGGTTTGGACAACTAGGTCCGGGTCTGGAACCCTGGATCCGGGTTTGAAACCCTGTATAAATACAGCACTTGATTAGTAAATAAAGTAACTCTTTCTGTTTTTGCTCTGCTAGAAAAAAAAAACCCTTTCTTACTCTGCTCAAGTGATCAGTACATTGGATACGTAACGATAAAGCGATAGTGACCTACTTAGACCTATTTGTACTTACGATTACATCAACCCTATAGTATGCGATAACGATAAAATAAAGCCTCCAACCTTGAACCTGACACGAATATCAACGAATATTAACCTGATCAGATTTACTATATAAAAAAAAAAGTTCTAAACTTTATTTCGTTCTATCTTATATGGAGATTAAACGTTTTATTTCATCCTACTTTGTTTAATTCTCTAAAGCCTTTCAAGTGAAAACAGAAAATTTTATATTGTAAAGCCTAACATTATAGAAACGGTTGCTTTTTAAATGCAATATTTAATACAACATATTGGCAATTAGATGAAATAGTGCGTTTATAGAAAACCTCTGGTTAATTGAAATACTTCAAAATTTTTATCTCAAATTTATTTAATTCGTATAAGTTTTTTTGGCATCACTAACTTAAATCATTAACTTAAGTATGTATAATTTATCCTTTTATTACTGATTTAATAATTATGAAAAGTTATTTTCGACAAGTTAAATGCACTATTGTTTTTATTTGGATATCCTTGCATATACAATAAGAATAATATTTAATTCAGAAGGGACATTAAAGCTATCGGGTTTGCAGAAGATTTATCTTGAAGTATAGAGATCCGCTTATTGAGCGTTGTTGCAGATTGTTGGCAGTTCTCCCACAAAATCCCCCTCATGATTTTATCCAATTACCGTAAATTCTCGAAATAGTGGGCATGAGCGTTATTTCAAATTTTGGCCCGAATTAAGCTAATTCGGGCCAAAATGCGAAATAACGCTCATGCCCACTATTTCGAGAATTTACGGTATATCGACAGATCAAGTGTAATGAAAAATCAACATTCTCCATGATTCGGATTAAGTCGCGTTAGGGGGATTTTTTCATCGGATCGGATTCGGATCCATGATTTATAAGATCCGGCGAATCCGGATCCACATCCGAAGATCCGTTTGGATCCGCTCATGCTGATTGGCTGCGTTTAGTAGACTCTGATTGGTTAATTTGGAGATTGTGCTCATCCAGAGCTCAACGACATTCATGTGATTGATTACTTTTTGTAGATCTACCCGCCGAAAATACAAATTTGGGGGTGCATTTTTTTAAGCATTTTTTTAGGGTTAGGATTAGGGTTTAGAAGCAGGTTTTATAATAAACAAGTATAAGTAGGTTTTAGGGGGTCAAGTAGAAACCCCTCATTTCATAATATCATTTTAATACGACTAGAAAATGAAGAGAATTTCACGTAAAGAAGCATATAAACACATGCAAAAAGAATTGATACATTTAAAAATAGATGATATTTATCACTAAAAACCCAAACTTAAATCGATTAAAAAAATTCACAATGCGACTAAATTATTAGCGAAACTATATTTATTATCGTCATATTTTGAAAAGTAACTAAAGTAATTCAATATTATCTTTAATCACCGCACCTTTAATAGAGATGCAACACGATGATAGAACTTAGGATTAATGAAACCATAATAATCATATACTCATGCATATTATCGACTTACCACTCACTAATGTTTAACTCTATAATATTTAAATACGTAAATATAAGCATTAGTACAAGCTTATTTGTATTATAATAGCATATCAATTAGTACTGTATACATGAAATTTAAGTTAACTCTTCCATGTAACGTCACAATCCTTTGTTTTTTTGTTGACCGTTTCCGGCATTTATAACTTACATACAATTATGAGGTTGTGGATTATTTTGGATTAAATTCAACAATGAATATTTACGTTCGTTTAGAACTAGGAATAGCTTTTAGGCCAGACCAATTTAATTCTCTGTTTTACATTACCCCCTCTACCTCCTGGGGGGATTTACTGTTATATATGTGGTTATTTTATTTTATTTTTTTTTACTATGAGAGGGGGAGAGATTCTGGAGGGGGTAATGTAAAACAGAGAATCTAATTGGTCTGGCCTTACTATGATCTTTTTGTTAATGAAACGTTGCGTTCTCAAAAATTACTTTTAAGGTGTATGTAATAGTTACCCGGGCAATTGATTTACATCAGTCAATCAGACGAAAGTTTGTCTATGAGCCAACTAGTTGCATATAATTCAACTAATCATATCGTGTTTATTTATATCCGGATCTGAACTTGGTTTCGATCCGGTTTTTCAGATCGGATCCGGATCTTTAAAAATATCCATCCGATCCGATCCGTGCGGAAAACTAGCCACGGGAACCTTAAATTCTCGATTTTTATTGGTAGTTTCTGACAAACATTGAGCATGATACTATATCGATATGATAGAAATTTTGCTAAGTGTTTGATGCTGGTGATGGATATGATTTTTTTATTTTTTACTTGGGTCCTTTTGTTGATCAATATGAGTATGAAAATAGTTTTTAAAACAGCGAAAATTTCGTTTTTTATTCAGTTTTAATTACTGTGCAATAATTACATTAATAGGGTATAATGAGACAACTATGACGTACTTGGTAAAAAATTTAACTCTGCAAAAAAATAATGACTTTATATAAATAAATCCTCGGTTGACGCGCAAAAATAGTTCAATGACATTTGACGAGTCTATAAAAAAAAAAAATTATATATTTATTGTGTTTATTGTTATCCAAAAGTTTGTTTTTTTTAAATATAGATATATATATAACTACAAAAATTCACACACAAGAATTAAGTAAAAAAAATCAAAAAGACGATGGATGGTAATGACGAAAATTTCCCACCTGAGATATACAATAAAAAGCGAAGGTATTACATGCATGTTTGATAAATAAATATATAGTTGGTATCGTGAATACGGGCATGTTACATGAAATTTAGAAAATTACAGAGAAGATGCCATATATCCAACTTGTATTCGTAACGAAAAGCACTTCAAAGGTCAATTGAATGTTCTTGTATCATTCAACAGTAAGTTATTTTTCTTAAATATTGCAAAAATATTTCAAAAAAAAAAATTGAGTAATGACATATTGTTATTTCTTGCGTTCTTATTAATTTAATCATAGAACGCGATAAACCATGGCAATGGATGCCTTTAAAAAGTTTAAAGTATGGTCAGCAATTGTTGCGCAATTTCCGCACCTATAAAGCAAGGCAAAGGCGAAAACAAGAAAATTCTAATTTTACATCCAATGAAATGAACAATATCGATAAAGTGTGGGGAAATGAAATGATGGTTGACCAAGAAATCATCAGAAGCAGTATTGGAACAAGAGATGAAGAGAACAGAGTTAAATATGTTGATAAAAATTTCTATTTGAACAGTAATGAACTGAAATCTGATGATATGAATATTGATAAAGATTTCTGGTCAGAAAATGTCGAAATGAGTAACATTGAAAATGAGGTAAAAATTAAATCTTTCTCCGAAACATGAGTCTTTAGTAACCAACCTCTTGTAATATTAAAAAAAAGGGCAGTGAAAAACCTACGGAAAATGATGCAAATAATGCAAATAATGCAAATAATGAACGTTTGATTTTAGATGTAATGATACCTTTATACGAGAAAATTCTTAAAATTATGGAAAACGAAAACATTGACATAAATAGTATAATTTCCTTGTGTGGCAATGGAAACTTCGATTTTTATCAAGATCAAAAGCTTAATGGTGATTGTGGCAAATCAACAGATTATTTTTGCGCTGAAGGATATAAAGAGTGGAATAATTTTAACATGAATTTTGAACATGCTGAGACTGATAGCGCACATAACCCAAATAACGTGATTACTCTTATTCACTCATTTTCATACATGTTGCATACTATAACGTATTCACAAATATTAATTTATTATCGTTATTTGCAAGCAACTGCAAAATAATAATCCAGATTTACAAAATAATCAAAATAATCTGAATTCTTTTGGTCAAGAATCAAGTACAAAGTCCATTCCAATTTTCAAGGATACAAATAACAACGGAAACAACGGTTTTTATTTTCCAAAATACCACAAAATTAATCATTACAATGAAACGAACGATAAAAGTCGTTTAAAAGAAAATTATATTGATGCTAGTGAACCAGTAACTATTTCATTTCCTTCTCATCAACCTCATCAACATCCTGATAGTTGTTGATTCAAAACCGGAACTCTTGTTATAGCAGCAGCAGAATTATACAACATCGTGGTATACCAAAGATTCAAATCGGAAACCTATAACATATACGGACTATACGAACATGATTGAAGAGAAACCCTGGAGCGAAGAATGTTCAAATACACCAACTATTCAGGTATTAATAGAAAAAATAATGATTTCAACACTTTTGCGTATATGATTATAATAATTTGATCTTTTATGTTTTTGTAATTAACATAGTGTCAATTAATAGACAAATTGTGTTAACATTAAACTTGATTAAATGATTTAAAACTCCAGGTTAAAGAAAACCCTAACGGATTTTGGTCAGTTGGTGATTCGGTATTAACGTTTAATACTTGGGCACCCTGGAAAGATAAAGATGAGTTTGATTATGAATTAGATAAATTGCTTAAAAAATATAAGGCAGAAGTAACACATCGATTTACAATGGACGGTGTGATTAGTTGAATGGACTTATTCGGCATAAAATTATGGATATTTCTATGAAGTAAGATGATAATTCTCGATTCTCAAATTGATTTTTGTATTAAACCCAATTATTCAGATTTGTCGTTGCAAACTTGGTGTATTGTGTTGTCTTTTTTTTTTCATTGTTATAATTATTCATTCAGATTCTTCATCAGAAAAATCTATAGATCGATAACCAATTAACGTAAGAAAGAATTTTGCTTTTTATAGATACAGTAATTATGTTAAACACGTGTACATAATTATTATTACTCTTATCTATTATATATTTTATATCTGAGACAGTATTGTCTTATTTTCTGTCACCATTATTTTTTATTAAAGATACATTACTGTATGGTCGCAAAATAACGCTCGTGAGCACTAGTCACCATTACTTTTATTCAAGATACATTACTGTATGGTCACAAAATAACGCTCGTGAGTACTAGTCACCATTACTTTTATTAAAGATACATTACTGTATGGTCGCAAAATAACGCTCGTGAACACTATTTTGGAAACCACATCCTTTAAAAACATCATATCCATCGCGTCCCGAAATAACGCGCAGGAGTGTACCATTTCGCGACTATACGCCCATTTCATAAAGACTTTTCACCCAAAAATAAATAAAGGTCATGCGTATTGATAATTTTGAAAGTTATTTATAATTCTATAATTGGTTTACAAGAGCAGAAGTTTGATCTAATCAATTTCAAATATTCATTTGTTTAATATTTTTACTATAAATTGCTAATAAGTGTATCTAGATGTTTACAAATATAATATCGTAACCGGTGTACTTTGATATTTGTTTACAGTCACCGCCGGCGACAAATAGATCTTTCTTTAGCTATATTTTTTTTTTTTAATGTTCGAGTGTTGAAGAGTAAAAACCTCTAAAATGACTTAATGATTTCTATGGTCCGTAACAGGTTTTCACTATGCAACACACATTTGATGAAATGTTTTTGTCATGACAGAAAATATAGCAAGCATTTCATCCATACAGATCTTATGATAAAATCGACTAATAAAAAATCGGTTACACAAATGAAAGTTCGTAATTCAATAATTTTGAATTACGTATTAACGTTAATACGTAATCAAAATGTTTTTCTTCCAAAAAAATTTTACACTTACCAAAACTAGCAATTCATAGAAAAAACAATATTCCACTTTCACATAATAGTATAATTTCTGAAATAATAACTCCTTAAAATTACTTAAATAGTATAAATAAAACGGCCACTATTCGTTACTATTATATTGGGAGAGTAGAGCAAACAAGCATCAAAATTATCATCAATAGTAACTCGCCGAACATTAATGTTAATAAATATGTTGTAAGTAGGGACGGAATTTTTAAGTGGATTTTGAATTTCTTAATAAAATTATAATTTTAGGGTAGAATTGGTTTTATATAAACCATAATCCTAATATAGATGCCTGCTGCAAAGTCACAATATCGAAGTCTATGTAATTATCATTATTAATAAAAATCCGCAATTAATATTTGCAGCAAGCAATACTAAACCTTAAAATCCAAGGAACTTTACTATTATAATAAATACCATACACGATGCTGGCATGCGACCATATCACAAAGTCTGTGAATTACCGACAGACGTCACCCACAACCGGTTTTGACTTAATATGGATATATTCATCGCAATCGCAAATAACGATAAAGCAAACAAAGCCGATATTAGATAATAAAGCCTGATATTAGATAATAAAGATTGCATCAAATACATCAACTTTAAAACTACAGTTGTTTAACATAATTTAAAGAACTTGTAATAAAGTTACCAATCGGACTTCTAAAATTTTGTTTTTTTTACAGTTATTGTAAAATTTATTTAAATTGGAACATACAGTATAATAAAATATATATACTGTATATTATTAATTTTTGAGCTGCATCAACTTTTTATACAGGTTTTTGTCAAAAAAAGATTAGCAAATTTATATAAAATTTTTATAGTGGTTTAAAGAATTGAAACCAGTGTTCGAAATTTCTGACTCAAATACTTTCTCGCGAGAACAATACAAATCGTTATAAGTGATCTCAAAATATTGTTTTATGTTCGCAAAAAAAAAAAAAAACTAACTTAGATTAGAAAACACGTATTGTAGATTATTTTATTGATCATAAAAAAATTTTTATAGTGAACAGTAAAAAATTTATACTATGCACAAATTCATAACAGTATTCTCATGAAAACTCTGAGAACACCAATTTCGAACACTGAATTGAAACATGCCTAGTAAAGACTGTATAGACTGTATAGACTGTATAGACTGTGTAGACTGTATATTGACTATAGAGCTATTAACGGCTTATTTGAGACCAGTTCTAGCAGCATAATGGAACTGAGCCGGTCCAAGCCAATTGAGCTGTAGCTTGAATCGTAATCAAACTATAGCTTAGAGTCGCAGCTTGAGCTGTAGCTTGAGCTTAGATTTGGGTCATAACTTAGCGTTAGCTATGACTTGGTGTCTCAATTGTTCGTGGTTAATATTACGTTTCCAACTATTAAAACTACGGCTTGAGTCATGGCTACTGTTTGAGTTATGGCTCAAACAACGGCTCCAATGGTCATAGCTCAAACTGGATCCATTCAAACCAAGCCATCCAAGGCGCTAACAGTCCTAATAGGCTATCACTACCATAAATAAAAAGAAAAAAAATTGCGTGACTCTCCAAACCCTGTTTAGTAAGTTTCGTTAATCTTTAATTTTTCCTGGCCAGGTTTTGTGCATACATTTAGGTATGAATATGATGACCAAAGTAGTCCTGTTATAAGGGAAACATATTAAGGGGAACCAACAACGGCATTACAACTCATAAAGTCGTTATTATCTATAAGTGCTAGAACATCGACAGATCTTTAATACTTGATATTTTGATACTTTATATGTATGTACATAGCACGTCCGTACGTACATATGTGTGCGTACGTTGTGCGCGGATACTTTAAGAGTGGACGCGATTTCCAAATCAGGAGTACAATAATGCCTTTACATATTTATTATATTTAAATAATAATAAAGTATACGTATATTGTAGATACTGTATATTTGTAAAAAAAAAAAAGAAGCATATTTCACAAAAAGGTAATTTCAGAAAAAGGTAATAACTTAGATTAAAAAAAGTGGATTGGTGTAATTATACAAAGCATAAAATTCAGTCTCAAGGATGTAAATATTTTTTTTTTGTACATTAAAAATCCATAATTTTTTCGTAATTCATAAAAAAAAAAATTGCATAATGCGTCAACGGGCATGTTCGTTAATTGATATTTTTTGCGCATAGACCCTGTGAAAATTCATATAAGTTCCATATTTGTTGTATTCTTCGTGAACAGCCTGTAACATTTTATCAAATTCATTCAAACTTATTCCTAAATTATTAGCAAGACGTGGAGCCAAAGTTTGAAAGAGGATTTTTTTAAACTCTCTTCCATGATCATTGCTAGACTATCACAACTTCCAATGGATTGCTTTCTGACTTCTTCCTGAATTTTTGCGAGATTTGGTTCTTTAAGAAGCCAATCTTTATAGAAGATCGCAGCACTTAGATTTAAACCCATTGAAGAAAATTCCTGCCTCAAAGATTCCACGATACGAACATAACATGGACCTCCATTAAATGCTGTACCATCTCCTTCATAAAATTCAATCCAACCATTTGGTTTACATACACGGATACATTCTGGAATTACTTGTGTTGCCCAATTTTCTTCAGAAAAACATGCAGACAAGAATCCTGTAGATAAAGAAAATAATTAATAAAACTTTAATTTGTAATAATTTAGATTTTATTAATGAATCATTACCTAAATGAACGAAATCAAAATAATTATCATCAAACGGCAAACCGTCAAGAATATTAGCCTGTATAAAATGTGCATTTCGTGGTTTAATCGTGCTTGGAAACATTGGAGCGATATCAATTCCATAAAATTCGGATCGGACGAAATCACAACTGTTTTCTAAAACCCATGTTCCTGGTCCACATCTGTATAAAAAATATAAAAAAAAATTATTAAATCAATAAAAAAAAAAAAAAAAAAAGATAAAACAAATGAACGATGAAATTGATGAAATTAATGATGGTGTATTACTTACCCTATATCTAATATTCGACCACCTCGTTTAAGCACATCTTCTACCGGAGCAGAAAAATTTCCATAGAATATATGTCGAAATAAATAATGTTGCATCTGTAATCTATCCATTTCAATTTCATCATCTGGAAAAAAATATTTTGAATTCTTGTAATTGGTATACCGTCGACCTTCGACATACCAAGATTTTTGTTCATTGGTAGAAGATTTTGAAGGGGATTTTTTCTTGTTTCTTTTCTTTGTTGATTGTTGGTTTCCCATTAGTAAAATCGGTAATCGTGATCGTACGAAAAGATTGTCAAAAGGAAGAAGAGGGAATGTGGACGAGAAACAGGAGAATAATAAATGAAAGAAAGTAGGTTATAGACTAATAAGATATTGATTATTTATCAAAGATCAAAGGATTGTTGTTTCACTTTTTGAGATGAGCAATTTATTTAAAAATGGATTACAGGTATATGCAGTAATTGCAGATAAGAACTTCCGACCTTATTTTAATAATTATATAAAATTATATAGTGAATTTGTAGTTTCTTAAAATAGACGAATATAATCCGATTGTCACCCTCTTAAACCTTTACATAGAATAAATCAAAAAGTTAATATAATTTAAACGTTAATAGATGATTAAATCTGAGGTGTTAGACTATGCTAAAAAAGTAATTATTTAATTATGCATATTTACTTTATTATTTATGCTGTTTAAGAAAGAAGCATATATTAAATTTATTTTTCATAGAAAAACAGTTATTCAAAAAATAACAAGAAAACCATATTATTGAAGCCTGCAAACAATCTCATGATTGTCTTTTGACGGTTTTTTTTTTTTTTATTAGTGACTTTAGCAATTATATACAGAATTTCATTACTTACGCAAGGCATGTGGCGAAATAATCCTGCACACAAGCAAGTGTGCTCAAGCCCGCTACTCTTTAAGGAACTTACGATTGTTCATCTTACCAACTACAGTGAAACAAACTCTTCTTTGTACATGCCGATACTCACAGACCACATAATTTCATTATCCTGTTGTCTTTGTTATGCTTGATAATGATGCTAGATAATGATGCTAATGATGCTAGATAGGTTGTTAAAATATCACATGATTTTTTAAAATACACAGATACGCAATAAGTGCATGTGCATTGTCATTATCGTTAATGAAGCTACATTTTTCACTTACATTTTTCACTATCATTATATCGATACACATACATTTTACTGCATATTTGTCCGAAGTATAGTGAGAGTATAGTGATTATAGTGAAGAACCCTACATTAGACTACATTAGTCTGTATGTCTATGCAATGTCCGATGGGAAAACCAATGAAATTCACAAATTAACATTACACCCTGAGACAATTAATCATCAAATCTAAAATGTTGGATTTTTCATTTGTATACAACATCGAACAAACATCGAACAAATCGTATAAGCCAAAATAATGTTCATTATTCATTAAAAATGATTCATTTATTCATTTAAAGTAATCTATATATATATATATATTCACATAGACTCGTCAACGCGCATATTTATTTGCTCCTGTGTGGGCGCGAGTTACTACGCTAGCTTATTAAAATGACGGGGTTTCATATCTAGCATTATTGAATAGATGAGATTATTATTATCATTGAGTAGATGAGATTATAAACAAACACGCATATCTAAGAAAAATGTTACCAGTGAGTAAAAGGAGATTGGAGCAATATTTCTTCGTGAAAGAAGGATAATTTGAGTGATGACATGTCACGCTGCCTAGTTGTAACCTCCTCCGATCCATAAAGATAATCAAATGTATCGTATTGATGTATTGTATGATGCAATAATATATTTTCTGCAACTACGTGACTGACTGACTAATTGAATGGATGAATGAATGTAAAATCCCTCGCGCAAGATAGACATTGCATATATTTTCCACACAATATACATATGATCGCATGGAACGTAAGATGACTTAATGAATTTTCTGAATTAAAATTTTATTCGCTCAAGATTCGAGGTTATATCGAGGTTACATCATCAAGGTTACATCATCAAGGTTACATCGGTTCCATCGAGGTACATCGAGGTTACATCTCGCGTGAATTTAAAATCCTAAAAGCGGATAGACAGTTACGATACTATGGGAAATAAAAAATAAATGTTCTTTTATGTATTGATCGTTACTTTGTGTATTTTTTATATAATATGACGTAAGAATTTGAATAAGTTTAGTTGAATATTATATTTGATCAACAATATCATCTATACGTACGGGCTTTTTAATCGACTAAAAAACCGATTCTAACCCCTACTATAATGCTATAATGTTTAAAATCCTAACATTAAATTTACATAATACAGAGTAAATTTAAAAAAACGCATAGATGCTAAATATTATATATAGATACATTTTATAATATATATAATTATTTTATACATATTATTAATAAATATATATTGCATGTAATGCTGGCCACAATTATTATAAAGCGAGTCAAAATTAGCATAAGTGCTTATTTTTGGTATTTATTTATTCTATAGAGAACTATATATATAATTAATTTAATTAAAATTAATAATGTACAAAAATAAGATTTTTTGTTTGCAACTATCACTACTATATAAGTAAGTACAAACAAAACCTTATACATAATAATATACTTGACTATGTTATTCACAAGAGTTTAACCGGGTGTACATGGTCCCTTTTTAAGTAACTTTATATATAACTATATAAAGTCACTTAAAAAACCGTGTACAAGGACTCTTGATACACCCGGTATAAAGATAAGACTTGTTTTATTTTATTACTGTCATTAAAATTAAAAGCTATATAAATTATATATATAGTATGAAATAATAGTAACTGCATAATTTTATAAATTTTACCGATAACCAAAATTGCATATGTGCTAGTTATTTTAAATTAGTATGTAGATAAGATCAAAGGGATCACTTTAACAATCAAAACTTACCAAAATTTAATAATAATAGGGAAAAGCGGAACCTACGACAGTGGTTATATTATTGATGCAGATCTAATATTAATTAATTATTTGCATCAATAACGTAACCACCTGCGTAGCGAGTTAATTTCAAAATTCTATTATTCGAATTTTACAACAAGATCATATTATTATAACATTTTAGGAGTTGAATCCGGTTTTAATGATAAAACAGATTAAACCGGGTTTAAGCGAAAATAAAATCGATTCTAAGCTCTGAGTCGATTTAGCCTGAATTTAAAGTTAAATAATACAGTATTTCATTTTTATTTTCATCGGAAGTAATATCGGTGATATATTCAAAAGTCTTCCATTTTTTTTCTTTCAACTTAACTTTCATATTATACACTCTTTTTAACTAATTTACTTTTTAATAACATTACTTATTTTCTTGATCTAGCTCCCCTCGTATATCTTTTGGTATGTCTTTTTGTATGCAGTCATCAAGCTGCTGCACTTCTTTACCGATTTGTTGCTCAATGTCTTTATGCTCTTGAGTATTATTTTCATTTTTCTCTTTATTTTGTTCCTCAAAAATGCTTTCAACATTATATTTCTTCAATGTCTTATAGTCAGAAAGAACGCTAATCCCACATATACTCTATACGTGGAAAAAAAAATTTTTAGCTATTTAAATGGTATGCAAAAATATTACATCTGCAAATGTATTTAAAAATTAAAAAAAATTAAAAAAACCTTAAAAATTTCAACAATAATAACCAAATCTGGTTTATCAAGATTGACAACATGATAATCACCAACAACACTTGCAATCTGTTTAATCAATTCCATCCTGTCTACTTTATTGTTATTTCGGGTATTTGGAATTATGGCGTACTTAATAATATTGAAAAAAATTTTAATGAATACGTTAGCAATAATTCTTCAAAAGCGAAAGTTAAAAAAAATTAATACCTTTATCTTTTGTTGCTGATCTTGTCCCTGTTTATGAAAATGAGGATACAGTACTACTTCGGCTAATTTTTTAATATCATTCATATTGGCGTAGCAAGTCTGTGTGATTGGGACAAGCCGCTTACAAAACCTATTAGATAAATAATATTAATATGCATATTACTAAGTACTACTAAGCAACTTTTTCACATGCTCAACTAACAAATGTTAGCCATACTAGAAAAAAGCGATTCAATCACCCACCTCGTTTTCTTTTGCTTGGTATTATTTAAATCCGTCAATATATAGTGAACTAATTGAACTGGATCCACAGGAGGGTTGGTCTTGATAAAAACAACTAAATATCATGTAGGATAAATAAATTTTTTGAAATAACTGAATGAATGCTCTCCTTTCACCTATGCAATTAATATTCATACCACAATCTGTTCCCGTTTGAATTGATGCAAATCTACGTGATGTATGTGGTCGCTTCATTTGTGCGAGTTCTTTAGCAATAGAACTTTCAATATCATCATCTACTGCTTTATTCGCTTCATTATCATCCACTGCTTTATTCGCTTCATTATCATCTACAACATCAGTCAAATCATCATGTTTGTAAATTAAGTCTGCGTACTAATTAAAAAATAAAGTATTAACCCAAATTTTGAAAAATTGACAAATAACTTTTAGAAAGATTATTTTTTCAAATAATTACTATGTCGAATAAATCATAGCATTCTCTTATACAAAGAACTTCCTTATTCTTTGTGCAACTAACAAAGACTCCGGATATTCCTGGTTGTAATGTTGCGATATTATTTTTTTTCTTATAGTAAGGCTTTTCTATTATTGTAAAAAAAAATTTATATAATTTATATATTTAATATTGTCTCATCACCAACACCTTCTTAAGCATCAAATAGTTTATTTACTTCTTTGACTTTTTGAAATTCCACTACCACGCCTAGATCGTCTTTGAGAGCTCGACATAATGATAATTTTTTTATAATGTTCGTTTTTATTGGTTGAAATTAAAAATACTTCAATATTTATTTTATATCGATATTGACAAAATATGGTTACACGAGCTTTTTTACTTTTAAATTAAAGTAGCTATATATAATCAAAGCCCCCTGAAATTTTGTTAGGTTTTTTTGACGCTTAACTTTTCATATATAAATTTGGGTTCAGTTTTCTACCAACTTTTATTAGAAGCGATTCTAATATTACAAGAATATAACTAATAAATAAAATTTTCTTTTGAATTTTTGAATAGATGTTTCGAACTTTACATGGGTAAGATAAGATTTAAAATAATTTTTTTTACGGTTTATAGAATGACCTCATTAGTCGGGGGTTTCCCTTTATTATTAAAGTATCTGCAGTCCGTATTTTACAGAAGGGTTTACAGTAACATATCAACGAGGGTACAATAAGCCACAAGTACAACTTTAGTCATTGTTCATTTAAGGGTTCCGCTCGTGGGTTCTCCACTCATTGCCATACCTAAGACCCACTTGTGAGTCCCCTATTTAAACTCAATGTTATTTTGCTCATGTGATCTTTAATTTTAGGTACTTCCTTCAGGTTATTTTACTCGTGAGGTAAATTCTACCGAAGGAGGTAGTTCTCACAGCTACACCTTATCTGGATTTTATTGTGCTAGTGGTGATATTTATATTAAGTAAGGTCAATTCTTTTCACAAACATTGCTGACATTTTTCACATTTCTCACTATAGTAGTGTCTGTACTCTGCTATATCAGTTTCCTTTCTGGAATTTCTTAAACTAAACATATATTTTTATTTGGACTTCTACAGAACTTTGCATACAATTATAGGTTTCTTTTTAGATTATAGAATATTTAGCCTTCAGCCAAACTCAAACTATCAACCTTGTTTGTAAAAGGACAGAAGCTTATCTATTAAGCTATAGAATTCAAATCTCAGATTTAAATCAATTATTTAATAAAATTTTATAAAGTATTGGAGATACAAATCTTTGAAGGTGCAATATATTTGTATTATAGGCCTACTTATATATGCTAATGAAATTTTTTAGGTTTTGAAGTATGAAATTAAAATTTGAAGATAAAATTGTTTTTGATCTATTTTACTTAAAAAATAAAAATTTTTGATATTTTTTTTAAAAAAATAAAATTATAAAGAATATAATTACAGTATACAATTAGATTTGTTCTTATATTCAATTCTTTCCGCTGATTATCAAAACACAAATTTTCTGAAACACAAAATTAATAAAAACTACGAAAGACACAAAAAGCTACTAAGAAACGAACCTCGGAGCTCTAAGAAAAAAAGAAGAGGACTACAAAAAACACTTAGTCTCTTAGGAAACTTGAGTAAAAGGAACAGAAGTAGCAAAGAAATAGAAGAAGTTGTGAAAAGTTGTCGATATTTTTTTGCACTTTGCGAATTTTTGGGGAATCGGCCTTGACTCTGAATTGCAGATCTGTTTTGGTAGTACAAGAATCACAATGCATAATAAAAAATAAACAA